TCCAGAAGCCCAACCACGCCGACGGCAAAGTGGCCGAGCTTTGGGTGAGGAGCTCGTAAACGCACCCAGTCGCTCGAGTCGCCCCTGAAAACTTGGACTGCATGGACTCCTTGCAGTCTTTGGCAAAGACTCCTCTAGGTCACTCTGTACGAGCCCTATATCTCTCCCATGCGGTGCACAGACGCTTGTCAAGGCAGCTTGACAATCCGCGATCTTCTGTTCTGTTTCGCGGAATCGTTCAGTCGTCATTGATCGCAGCTGTTGGACCTGCTCCATTAGCTGGTGCACAGCACCATCCAGCTTGCTGTCCAGCCTCTCGATAGCCCTCTTCGGGTCAGCCTTGGTCACGCCGATCATGCCACTTCTGCTTGTAGAGGAAGGGCCCTTCACTTCCAAGTCGAGCAGATTCATCTGCAGCCTAGACGACACAGAAAAGACCTCTTTTTCAAGCTTCTCGAGGCGAGCCGCGATGGCCACGTTGACTTCACTTTCGAGACAGTCCATACGCAATGCAAGATCTCCGGCAACGCCCTTTGCATTAAATGGTTCAGTCAAGACAGGAGCCACCGCTTCTTGCCATCGCTTCTCCAAATGCTCAGGCTCGCCGGTGCGGACATGCAAAGGGAGGACCACACCTGCTGAAGTAGGAACCACGAGCATCAATCTCAACCAGTCATCAGGCTTACTGCGTGCCTTGATGGTGATGGGCAGGCCTCGGCAAAATAAGGCTTGTGCGAAAACATGCCAGGGACAGGAATGAATTGGAAATAAAGTTTGAGCATGCACCTCGAGGGTCTCATGTACCAAGCTGACAGGCCGGCGTGGTGGGCCGGACTGTCGGCGCAGTACGCACTCAGAATATTACGTCAGCCAGGCATTGCACGGGGTTAACTCGGCTTCAACTACGGTGCAATATGGCCACTGGTTCTCTCGCAGCCATCGCAGAAGACCTGTGATCGGCCAATGAAACCCACTGACTCTAATGAACTATAGCATCATCTACCCTTCAGAACTGACGCGTCGGGGCTTCGCTGTCAAGTTCGTCATGCTTGCAGGCACTCACAGAAGTATAGCTATAGAAGAGGCGCACTGGCAAACGGCTACAATCGCTAGAATGTGCTGCCGGCTTTCTCCTCGCCCGGTGCAGGAAGGCTTGTCGCCTCCGCTGCCCCAGATGTCCTTGTCAACAGCGTTTGCTAAAAGCTTCGTTGTAGACGAAAGGCTTTGAGCTCTCGGAGCTCTCGAAACACTTGAAACTCCAGAAGCTCTAACCGTTCTAACCGGTGCTTGTTTGCAGAATGCCAGCCTCGGCGTTGAGTCGGAGGACAAAAAGCTGTCACATGGCTGCAGTCGATCATCGGCCATCGGCGGAAGCAAGCTTCCTTGTGATGAGAAGGACAAAAAGCTGTCACGTGGATGCCGTCGATCATAGGCCATCGGCGGAACCAAGCTTCCTTGTGATGCTGAGAGCCTATAAATCTTGGCAGCAGCAACATCACGCGTCAGCCTGCTCAGCTATTTTTGCGAGGTATCCTGCAGGTGTATTTGGCTCCGGCAGGGCATGCGAAAAGCATACTGAAATTCTTACTCTTTTACTTGGACGAGATGCTTCCGTACTTGTAGCCAGCATCACCATTGAACATGACTAGTCCTTTGCAAACCTCGTCAGTCTCTACATGCATTGGATTTTCACAGCATACCGAGGCCGTGCAATGTAGTTGTGTAATTCCTGGCAGCTGGCACCAGACGCTGAACAAAAAAGGACATGTGACATGACCGTGGACCATAGACTCTTTGCCAGAATGTGACCAGCTGCCAAACACAAAGTCGCAGGGTTCACCCTGCCGCGAATGTCTCTGGCTTGTGGCGCTTCATGCAGGGAATTTGAAGTGCCTCTGCCCTCTGCTTCTTGCACTGTACCGGAGGATTCACGCCACAGAGAGATTTGCGCCGACATCATGGCACGCAGGCATGGCAGTCCTCGCGGAAGGCAGAGCGAAGTGCCTCACAGGTTTGTTGAAGGCAGGTGCCCATAAATGGCTAGTGGAAGAAACTGACAAAATGAGACAGCCGAGATCACGACGCTGTGCCCGACCCCCGCGCCCACCATGGACGCGATAAAACTTAGGGTTGCTCCTGTTTCGTACTCTCCTGGTTCCTTGTGCTCTTGTGAACCCTGTGGGAAGGGCTTCGAGTGTAATGCAGCGTCAGAGAGACGTACGGCATCGTTCGGCATGGGCTTGACCGAGTTCCAGAGATCGAGTGCTTTGCCTTTCGCATCAGGTGTGATTTCGTTTATGTACAATATCCACACCCTGGTGTGCACGCCTTGGGCGTTCAACTCACAGAGTGTCCATCGTGCTGCGCCCTTCGGGTCAGCTCCAAGGCCCTTGCACGGCACTCCTGCCGACAGTTTTCTGTTGGGGGTTCACAGCACTACCGCTCCAAGCCCCTCAGGGTGCTGTGCTCGCCAGCGACTCGAGAAGGGGGGCTTGGCGCCGGGGGCGGCTGGCCTCCGCGAGAGTCCCCCAGAGAGCCCGGAAGCCGGGCCAGCCGCCTCTGCGCGCTTTGCGCCTTGGCGGCCGCTGCGGCTGTGGCCAAGGAGGGGGCCGCGGCCGCACCTGAGCCAAGGCGCCGAGTTCGAACTCGGCCCAGAGAGGCATGGCTCGCCATGCCGGGTGGCTCTGTCGGATTGCCAGCCATCCGTGACTGCCATGGGCAACCTGGATCAGCACGCGCGCGACACGTCTCTCGAGCCTCGCTGCTCCACCTCTCGTCGCTGTCGCTGTGCCTCTTTCTGGCCTGGAGACAGGTCCATGGGTTGGGTGCTCCTGTCTTTGATGTCAGACTGTGAGTCAGAGCGAATGCGGGAGAGGGAGGGAAAAGGGAGAGGTACTGCACACAGCTCCCTGCAGCACAGCACTGCGAATCACTAGATCGCGGCGGAGGCAAGTCCAAAAGGGGCGACCAGCCCCCCCCCCCCCAACGTCCGCCATCCTACGCAACCATGACAAAGGGATTTCACTTCCGCCTCCAATCACTTCAGTAGTGGGTTTTAGTGGGGGGAAATGGGGTTACGTACCGCAAACTCCCGTGCTTCGTGGTCACGTGAATTCTTACGCTGCTCACTGTTCCATACGAGACACGAGAAGTCCGGCAGCTGAGAGCCGATGTCTTTGAAGAGACGCGCAATCGCAATGTACACATTACACAGAATTACACTCTCTTTCTGAGCTTGACAAAGCTGCTACCAGTGGTGAATCCCCTCCTCTGAAAGTCTCTCGACTCGACCTGCGCAGACAACATCGTGGACGCCATCCGCGAGGCAACCGCTCCAGAGCTTTCAGATTCCTGATTCACCGGCGAGATCTATCAGAGGGTGAGGCACAAAGACTTTCTCAGCACCGCTCCGTCCAGGTGACATCGGCGAGACTTCGTAACTCCTATGCCACAGTGGAACCGAGATGTACTCACACCGTCTCACCCCATCCTGGAACGTGCTTCCCATGGCACTGGCTCTCGTCGACTCGGTACCTGCTTCGTCGGCAGGGTTTTGACGGGGCTGTTTGGCAGCTGCCAGGCCTGATGAGAAGGTCGCAGTCGCAAGCTTGCCGTTTGTCGCCATCAGCTCGACTGCCTGGGAAAGGTAGCGACACAGCTGCACTGCTCCACTTTTCGGCCCTCCACCGCCTCCATCTTTCCGACCCGGACGGTGGCGGCGGCTCTTAGCACAGTTTGCAGGTTCAAATTGGCTGAATCCAGAATTGGAATGCGGCCTGGTTGTTCGCGATGCGATCGCATGAAAGCCTCTCTCTCTGACCAACTGTATGTCTTTCTAGGACCCTGCGCGTCTCTGCCCGTCCCTTGGCCTTCGAGGCCTGTCTGCTGTTTCTGCTCGAGAACGGCTGCTCGCTTGCTCTCGAGCTCCTCGTTTCGGGCCGAAGGGCCAAGAAAAGCGCCGACGCTGTGAGCGGCTCGACGTGGGTTCTCAGATTCTCTGCCCGCTCCGGCCGCGGCCTCACCGCGCCGGTCCTGGAGCTTTCGGAGATCTGCTTGGAGCTGCTGCTCTCGCAGATCCACCTCCCTGTAGCAGAGACAAGCAGTGAAGCCACGGAGACGAACTTCTACCGACTTTAGCACAGTGCGGCCGCAGGTGCCGGCGCCGGTGCTCCAAGACGTGCTTCTGCTTCGCCGCCAAGACTCGGGTCCTCAAAACGAAGAGGCGAACAGGCAAAAACGGCTCCGCCGCGCCCGCCCCGGGCTCCGCCCCCGCGCTCTCCCGCCCGCTGCCTCGTGGCCCAGACTCGTTTGCAGTCATCCAAGCGCAGCTTTGTCTGCTCCTCGCTTCGCGCACGTGTGCTGCCGCTAAAGCCGCGGAAACCGGTGCCTCCTTGTCGGCTTTCACGGCTCGGAGATCTGCCGTCTTCTGCATCCTTCGGAGACGGAACTCTGAGTTTTTGAGCATCGTCGTGTGCGGCCAATATCACACAAACAGTTGCTTCGACTCGGTAGTTTTCCCTTGTACATGTAGTCTGTGCGAGCGGACCGAAGCGACTGCATCACCGCGACGGGACGCAACCTCTCCAGTAAAGAGCGCATAGTTTGGAATAGCTGAATAGCCACGTGTCCGATACTTAATACATCTGCGGTTTTCAAAGAGAAGTCTGCGGCGGGGGGTCTCCTCTGCAGAAAGCACCTGGAAGCTAAGAAGGATCGAACGGCCGCTGAATCGATGGATGGGGCCTTCTCGTGGAGAAGGTCGAAGCCATGGCCCGCAGCTCCTTGCTGCGAGCCTTCTTGGAGGCCTGACCGAGGCCCCGCAAAGGGGCGAGGGCAGGGGCGAGAGAGCGCGCAGGGCGCTCAGGTGAGCGGCGCCTTCTCGCCAGACGGGCCGGGGTCCGGCCAGGGCTCGTCAGACGGGTCGGAAGGCACCGGAAGCTCCTCTCCACCAAAACCCAAGCAAGTTTTCCAAGCGCAATGTCGACGTCGCTCGACGCTGACTACCTCTGCTTGGAGATCCGCCGAAAGACTCGGTTCCGGTTCCGACCTGGCCGACCTGGCCGGGGGCAGGCGTGCGAGACACTCTCTTCGGAAACCCGGCCCATCCCCATTCAGCCTCGCAGAAGCAAGTTCGCTTGGCTCGGGCGGAACGAATGGGCGCCTGCGTTGCTGTTGTGTGGGTCGGGCATTGCGTGCGCCTGTCTCCTTGCGACGCCGACCTGCACTGCGACCTGCACAGGCCAAAAGAAGCGTTCCCCCGGACTTTTTTGCGGGTCGGAGCCCGGGCCGGGGCCGGGGCCTCCGAGCTGCAGCAAGACACTCTGCCTCGGTGTGCGCTGACAGCAGGGGGTCCGCTCTGCAGGCAAAGGGGTTCCACTCTTTGCCTCCTCTGCCACGCGAGCTGCATTGGCACGGCTGTAGAAATCCATGAGACGCGCCTTCGTTTCTCAATCTCGCTGCAGTGTTGAAACTCCAGGAGCTCAGCAGGCCTCCCACTCGCGTTGCTCTTTGTCCCCTGGCAAAAAGGTCCCCGTCCGCCCTGTCCCCCCCCCAACTCGCCGAATCTCGAATAAAGTCCTCGGTCAGAGCCAAGGCTTCTGGTGGTCGGCTCCTGCTCTTGACAGGATCGCAGCTCACCGATGTAGTGTTCTCCTCCTTTCCTTCGTCCCTGGGGCCTCCCTTGCAGCCAGCAGCCTTCGGATAGCGAGCTTCTCCGTGGCCGCATGCTGCAGAACAAAGCAGAAGAAAAACAAGGCCCCTTTCTTCGGCTCCGCTTCGTTTTGCGGGCGCCTTCGCCAGCTGCTTCTTGTCCACGGCTCGGCCCGAGAAGTTCAGTCGGTTGCCCAGGATCCAGGCCTCGCAAAGAAGAAAGCATCAACCAAAGCTCGCCGCTCTGCTCTCCTCCGCACCTCCACGAGCTGAGAATCCACGCCGCCTGCCAGGCCAAAGGAGAGCCGGTCTTAGCAGAGTTGAGGGCTGTCGGCGCACTCGGCAACTTTCCGGATTGGAGGGCATCAAGCAGCCTCGACGCAAAAGCTGCCCAAAGGTCTCTCGAAGCTGTCCAGTGCCAAGACCCGCACTCTTGCTGTGGCACAATAGACAGCTGCTGCATGATTTCCTGGCGTTCGGTTCCTTCTGTGCCGCACTCGTATGAAACGCTAAACCTCAACGTCAGCATTTCTCTTCTTCTTGTTGAGCCGCTCCAGCCTGAGCTAGGCTGTGGGATGGAAGCGAGATGCGGTGTGTATCGGTGTGTGCCAACCGCCTTTGGAGTTCTCTCTCCGCGTGGAGCTGTGCGAGGCCGGCCCTGCGCTGATCTTCCTGCGAGGCAGGGGCGGGCAGGGGCAGGCTGGGCAGGGGCTCGCGATGGGTTCTGCCGCGCGCATCCTCAGCAGATTGCCAGTCTGCACGAAACTCCGCCACCTTTCTCTGCTTCAGGATCTTCAGGCCGTTCACGGCCACGGCCTGCGACGACGCGCGATTCTGCTCAGCAAAATCTCTCACGGCTCTGTGACGGCCACTGCGGCCTCGGAAGGCTTCACATCGTTCTGGGCCCTCAAGAGGAAGATCCCAGCCTCGCAATGCAATTAGCTCTTTGCAAAACAGCAATGCGGGCATGCACAAAAGGCTGCACTTGCGCAGCTCTTCCAGCTCTAGCCGCTCGGGCCTTGCTGGTGCGAGGCCAGTCCTGAGCCGGTCAGGCCAACTGCGGGCCAAGCGCCGCTCAGCGGAGCAGGGCACTTGCTGTTGTGGGGGGCCCCTGGCTCTGCCTACCCGCTAAGCTTCCGAGTAGCCCAGGCAAAGTGGTTCATGTTAGCACGAGAACTTCAGCACTTTCTAGACATACGAGTTTGCTAATAACACGGAAGCAGTACATGCTCGGGCCCCAGCCAACCCGTAGAGGTCCTTTCGACAGCTGTGAACACGCTGTGAACACCCGGACTGCGAGCACAACTTCGCTCACCGGTCCCAGAGCTTCAGGACGCGGTAGGTCGTATCGGCATCGTAGAGCTGGTGCCTACGAAATCGTAACAGGAAGCAGGACTCTCACTGGGGGTGGGACAGTAGGAGTTGCACCTGACAAGCAAGGGCACTGCCATGTGCATCTCGAAATTGAACGTGCAGAAGTAGAGGATTAGTGCTCTCTGTCGTGCCTCAACGCGAGCACGGCCGCAGGACGGTCCTGCCTACGGTCCTATCTCGCCTGAAGCACTGTCGGGAACCTGAGCTCCAGGAAGCGCAGCGCACCAGCGCCTCGGAGACGCGGCAGGGCAGAGGATCCGGGCCTGGGCCTCCGAGCCCCGGTGCTGGCGGCCAAGGCCTCTTTCCTGATGCCCAGCTCCGCCAGCTCCTCTCGCACGCGGTTGCTCTCCCTCCCTCTCTCTTTTCTTCTCCCGCTTAGAAAAAGGCCGAAAGGCTCCTTCTCCATAGCACCGGCAGCACAAGTGCGGGCGACAGTCTCCAAAAAGGGCGACGGCACCTCGATCGTTCGCTCCTGCAATCGGCAATGCATCGAGTGACTGACTGCCCTTTTGTACCTGGTTTCTCCTCTGAGATGCCCTCCAGCAGCAACCCCTGGCGCACGTCTGCTATCTGTGATTTTTGTCGTGGTGTATATCCTACACCATCGTACATCGTGCAACGGTGACTGCAAGGGCGATATGCACGCGCCTGCAAGCCTCGCACGGGCCGCAGGGACGCGCCGTCGCCCTTTGACTCCTGCAGCTGCGCCTCGGCCCAAGACCCGCTCCAAGTCCCGCTCTCTTGTTGCCTTTGTTCTTTGCGACGGCCTCCGAAAGGAACCACTTGGGCAAGCTCCGAGTTCGAGAGCACCTCCGAGCTCTGCCACTGGTCAAAACACCGAATTGCAATGCATATGAAACGAATCCTGAATCCATTGCCAGAGCTGGGATCACGGCGCGTGCGCATGGACTGCACCGGCTCCGTCGCTGTCCCCTGACTCGACACAATGCCTTTGCCTTTGCTGAAGTGCGGCATTCCGGCCGAGGGCACCCGGTGATTGCGGCGCAGCAAGCAGCACCGGTGCCTCCGGTTGAGTGGCAGGCCAACGAAAGGTGCCATGGTGCGAACCAGTAGTATAGCACTACCAACCACCATACCCCATCAAACTGCGTATGCCATTCCTTGTGTCTCGCATGCTTGGCAACGAAAATATCCATGGTGTGTGTGTGTGTTGTGTGTGTGTGTTGCGTGTGTGGTGTGTGTGTGTGTTGTGTGTGTGTGTGTTGTGTGTGTGTGTGTGTTGTGTGTGCTGTGTGTGTTGTGTGTGTGTGTGTGTGTTTGTTTGTTTGTTTGTTTGTTTGTTTGTTTGTTTGTTTGTGTGCGTGTGTGTGTGTTGGCCTTCGGCCCCAATCTGACTGGCCCCGTTTCCAACATTTTTCCTATAGCAGATGGCACTACACGACGATATCTGGCACAGAGGTGTTTGAAGGCTTTTGTCTGATCAAACGTGAATCGTCACAAACGTCTCTACCCTATCTGGGCAATGCTTCCTTTGTCCCAAGGCGGGTCATGACATACCATACTATCGGGTCTCGGTGTCTGACCCGACCTGGCCTGGTGCCTGCCTGACAACTCGTCTTGGCCCTAGATGGCGCTTTGTCACGAAAGCGGCGCCAGAGAATTCGGCTGGCTGCGCCCCTCAAGTCTTGGTTGCTCTTTCCGCTAGATTCTGTAATGCTGGTGGCTCTTTTTGGCACAATCTGGGCGTACTGCTCGGTGGCAGTCTGAACATCGTATTGGCGGCTTTTCTGACAGAAACAGGTCGGTGATAAAAAAAGCATTGCTGAGTGGTGGCACTGACACAATCTATCATGAGCATTGCTGGCTCCAGCGTGCGACACATTCGGGCCCTTTCGATCACCTCCCCTCCTTTGCTTGGAGAAAGCGCAGTTTCTTTTTGCTGGAAGTTGTGCGCAATGTTGCATCAGCACACCCAGGATTCCACAAGCCCGATCGATCCGCGGGCGTATACCACCTCAGCCCACCCCGCCACGCCACAACTATCCAATACCAGCAAACAGACCTCCCAAAACGCAACATGGACCTCCAGATGGCCGAGAGAGCGATTGGGCGAGCAAAAGCAAGGAGTGAGCGGCGTCGAAATGGCAAAGCTTGGAACATGAGAAGCCTTCAGGTAAGAGTCTTTCCCGGATGTCAACTTCGAAGAGCAAACCACCCGCAAAGCCCCGGCGCCGCCTCGCTCGCAAAGCCGAAGCCCAGCCGAGACTCCTCGGCCACAAAAAGCCCCGCGTCCCCTCTTCACTCCGCGCAGCTTGCGCTGCTTCTTGGGCCCCGGCCGGGAGGGCGGGAGGGAAGCGCTCCAGTGCCGCGATGAAGTTCAAGCCCAGAAAGAGCCGCTCCTCAGAGGCAGAGCTGAGAGAAAGAGGAGAGAGAGAAGAAAGAGAAGAAAGAGAGAGGAGAGAGAGCAGAGAAGAGCAGAGGAGCTGAGAAGAGCTGAGCTGAAAGAGAGCGAGAGCATGCAAATATAGGGCTTGCGCTTCTAGAGCCTCTATATAGGCCTATAGTCCAGAGCGGGTGCTCCCGCATCGACGCGCCTCGACGTAGACCACGGGGCTTCGGATCTCGGAGTCGCACGAACGAGTCACGCTCTCTTTTGCCACTGCGGGTTTTGGCTCAGCTTCCCGCGGAACGGGTCAATCGGAGCGCGCCTGCGACTGCTGAGCACGCGCAAGATTCTCTCTCTCTCAACCCTTTCTCGACTCTCTTTCTGACGGAACAACTCCCGCAACTTCGGGGGCACGGCCTTGCAGGAGCTCCAAGCGCCGTTTCAGCAAGTTCCAGCCTGGCGCTCGCGCATTTGGCCAGGCCACAAGGGGCCCTATACCACCACCACTTCTCGCAATCATCTCGACACATGCACTGGCACCCCCCCTATTCTCTTGAGAGAGAGAAAGCCGCGCCGGAGCTGCGCCAGCCGCGCTGGATGCAGATGGCCGCACGGCGGTGGAAGACGGCCTCCGCCAGGCCTTGCACGAGGGCGAGCGCAGACAACGCTTGCGGCGGCCTCGGCGCCCTCGTGCGGCCGGCTTCCGAGCGAGAGCCGCTCCTTGTGGGCCCTGCAGCAGAGCGCAGCGCCGTGCTCAGCGCCCAGCCCAGCCCCTTGCAGCCGCCTCCAGCAGGACTGGATCACCGTCGCTGCAGCGATCTCTGCCACTGCCTGCAAAAGAGCTGCGCTCCTCGAATCTGCCCGGCACGAGTCTACGCGTGAGGGAGCTGCGGCGAGGGACAGGCACCCTACAGTGTGGCCTTCTGCCTTTTGCCGCACTGTCACGTGTTGCTGGCAGCTCAGAGATCACGTTCTGCATGTCGCGTCTGCGATGTGATCACATAGTGTTGTCGGTGCTCCCGGTGTGCATCTCGCATCTTGCATGGCCAATTTGATGCTTTCGCAGCCGGCTGCCGCGTCCGCCATTTGCTGAGGCTGTTTGTGCACACCACCACGTGAGAGTCTCGAGAGTGTGTGTGTGTGTGTGGCTCTGTGCGTGAACTGCTTTGATGCGTGCTGGCGGGCTTCTGCAACGGGTTTTCCTTGTGGACGGCTCGCTCGCAGCTCGCAGACGGATGATATCCGTGCAGAAGTTTTCGAACTCAGTGTGGATTTTGGCCCCGTAGACATGGCTTCATGCCGTGCGGCCATGCGGCAACTCTGCCTGTCAGGCCGAGGCTCAAGTCTTGACTTTCTTGCGAGTCCTGTTTTGCTTCCGCAAGCTTCTTCCAGAAGTGGATCCGACTGCGATCGCCTGGCTTGCACGCTTTCTCTTTTGAGAAACGAGCAGCACCCCTTGAAATTGCAAAGAGAAAGATCAAACTCCACCTGAAAACGCAGGCAGAAGGCACAGAGAGCACCTCTCGGCGCTGTCACGCTGTGCACACCCGGAACACTTTTCCCCAAGCTAGACTCAAACGGCTCGCAGCTCAGCGGGCATCGGTTTCCGCGAGGGGAGAGATCTCTGCAAGAGGAGATGTCTCCACCGGCGAGGCCTTTTGAAGCGTTTTCGAAGACAAGAAAACCCTCAACTCTCAGCAGCCAAGAGCTGTCAAGCGGCCTCATGTAAGGAACCTGTCGAGGCCAAGGAGGCTTGAGAGGCTCCGTGCGATGCTGCAGTCGTCAGACTCTGGGCACTGGTTTTCGTCCTCGGCCACGGCAGGTTCCCAAGCATGACGTCTCTACGACATACATATACATATTAGATGTGTGTCTATATATACATATACATATAGAGAGAGAGAGAGGTATGATGACAGTTATGCATAGAAGGAGTGAAAGGCTGATCTCGTCTGGCAAACCCACAGGGGCTATGTGGAGTCAAGCGACAGTTGCTGCAACCCGCAAAACAACTCGGTTTATTGCCCAGGCCCAGACAAATTTGGGAAATCTATAGGGGCCTCAATAATAGGAACCTGGGGGCGTAGAATAGCAAGGAAACTATGCACAAACGAAAGGGTCTAGGATACAACGGATTGCTCAGAGGCCTGTGCAATCTGGGCAGCTGGTGGCAGGGCCCTTTCTCTTTGCCGACCGGGTTCCAATGTCTTCGAGGTAAGACTAAGCTGTCATGATGTGACAAGAGTCTGGGTTTTCGGACATGAACGTATTAGGATCCATAGAAACTGAAACGACGGCAACCGGTGCTTTTTTTGGACCTGCTTCTGAAGCTTAGGCGCCTTTCAGGGGGTGGCGTAATTTAGGGCTAAGACTGAGGGTTTCAAGCCCATGCTCGACCCAGCTGAGAAGTATATAGAAGTATGGCTGGGGCCCTTTTTTATAAGGGTGCCCTACAATATTGAGGACCTAAACGGGGACCCTAGTTTAGAGAACTACCCCATATAGACGTATGCCTCAACTCTGTGGTTTCATGGAGCTCTGGCCTTCGGGGTTTCGGGGTTCAGCGTCCTCTTCCTCCCAGCCCTGGGCCTGGGGGGTTTGAGTCTCCGAAACCTTAAACTGGGGCAAAAATTCGACACCCCAGGGAGCTAGGACGGAAGTCAGAATACCACAAGCCTATAGCCCAAAGGACAAACCCTGAGCATCGAAGGACTCATATTTTAAGGCTCTTGGGCCCAAAGACCCTATTATATAAGGCTTTTGGGCTATTTTGATGCTAAGGGAAAGGCAGTAACTATCAAATCCACCGCAAAGCCTGAACCCCAATAACTCGATCCATCCTGGCCATCCTGCACCTGCGGCTGACTGAAACGAGGGCACACGTAGGCGATGTCAGCATTCCACTCGAGCATCAGCTGCTCAAGTTGCCTTCACTCCGGGGCAATCACCGTAAACCCTAAACCCTAAAGGCCCTAGAACCCTAAACCCGTAAGCCGCAAACCTTGTCTAAGGATCGACCCAGGGTTCTGGTCGGTATAAACCCTTGCAAACAAACTCGCTGTGAACCCCAGCCCCCCTCCCCCCCCAGTACAAGAACCCCTGCCCTAAATGTCAAAGTTGGCTCCGATTCTTATAAAAAGTGCGCGGCTGAGCCCTGCCTCCTGCGGATGTCGTCTGGCAGTTGCTCGAACAGTTGGTCGCGATATCCTGGGTGAGTGTCGATATGCTCAGTTGCCCTCAAAACCCTAAAATCTGAACCTCTAAACCCTAAACCCGCTTGTTCTCGAAATCCAACAGCCCATCAAAAGCCGAATCCCAGAACCTCGACCCCCAAACGCCAAACACCCCTAAGCCCAAAGAATCCAAAATCCCTTACCCAGCCCCCTAAAGGGCACAATAGGGTTCCCCCCCTTCAAGGGCGGGTACTATCGGGTTCGATAATGGGGTCCCCCTACCCTAAAACATCAACCATTCGGGACCTTCCCTCGATACTTCAAAACCCTAGACTAGACCAATACCCTAAACATATTTAAAATGAACCATAACATCCTCAACCTCTGCAAGAACCGCGTGAGAACGCTGACTCACAACCCTCTCCAATCTCAACAATGATCTGCTTCCGTGCGTCTGAAGATTTGAAGAAGGAACCGCTGGGCAGCTCGTCGGCCATCCCTGGAGGGGCTTAGGGTTTAGGGTTTAGGGTTTAGGGGTTTAGGGTTTAGAGGTTTAGGGTTTAGGGAACCCTGAAGGGATCATGAAGGGCTAAGGGCTTTGTCATTGCCAGAAATCTTGCTCACCCAGCCTATATACCCCTTAAGGGGCACTCCAGATTTCCCCCTTCAAGGGCGGGCACTACAGGGTTCTGTAATGGGGGGTCCCCCTACCCTAAGGCTCCATGCTCTCATGTAGGCTTCCTTTAAGATAAGGATCCCAAGGGGTTCCTTTAAGGGTTTAGGGTTTGGAGGTCCATGTACCCTAAACAGCCTAGACTCTATAAGCCCGAAGCCCCGATAAACCCTAAACCCTAATCACCCCAATAAAACCCTAAACCCTATAAACCCTAAACCCCATAAACCCTAAACCCTAATCACCCCAATACAACCCTAAACCCTATACACCCTAAACCCTCATAACTCCAATAAAACCCTAAAACCGCAAAGCAAGAATCCAGAGACTGGGTTCCCATGGACAGTATGCAACAGCTAGAAATCAAAAGCAGTCTTCGCCGTCAGTATAAGGGTCCATGCGCCTACATGGTGTCCCTAAGGACCATGTCCCCAAGTAGTGAATACTTTGGCCTTTAAAAGTCATCCCAGTATGCATATTTTGGAACCAAAGTATATACTATTTGGGTACATGGACCCTTATCATGTCATGGATTGTCCGACCTTCTATACAATAGGTCTATGAGAACTTTTACGAAAAGTTAAGAGTTTGGTTTTGAGGCTTTGGAATGTCACGGCGGGGTTTAGGATTGGGAGTTTGGCTCGGGGTGTAGAAAAGGACTTTTGTTTTTCGGGCGAAGGGTTTTGAATTGTTGAATTCGGCTCAGGAGCTTTGGTATACAGGGAACCACAATTTCTGCTGCCGGGCTATATACTGGGCATGTTGTACGCCAAATGCAGGCTTGACTACAAGCCACTTTGAAAGCTTCGGTTTTTAACACCCACATATCAGACGGGTTGGGGTTCCTTGGGTAAGCAGCCCAGTTACCTGTGCAGTAGGCCCTAAACCCTAAACCGGTATTTCTGATATGTAGCCTTCTTGGGTTCAGGGTCGAGGATTGTGGATCGGGAAAAGCGGATCCCAAGGTGGGGGTTTAGGTTCTACCCATAGGCTCCGTAGTAGTTCCTTTTAGGGATCACCTTTTAAAAGGCCCTAAATACACACCACAAAAAGGAGCTATAGTGGAGCCTATGTGTAGGGTTTCGGGTTTCATGGTCCAGGGCTTCAGAGTTGGGGTTGAGTGGGTTATAGACGTCAGTGCGTTGTGGAGGAGGCCCCTTTCTGCCTCAAAGCAGAAGGACTGCGTCTTCCTGAGTAAGTTAGGTTTAGAGTTTAGGGTTTAGGGTTTAGGGTTCAAGGGTTTAGGGGTTTAGGCTTTAGGGGTTAGGGTCTCAGCACGAGCAGAGGAGCCGGACTCAAATCGAAGGTAGACTGGACACCCAGAAACCAAGCCACGCAGTTCGACCCCCGGGTGCCCAACCCGTGAGGCTTCAAAGGCCTGAAGATTCCTAAGGCCCTGCCCAAAATCTCTTCACTTTGTGGTCTCTCTGCGGAGGGCCTCGTCTCCACAAGGAGCACGGAATTCATCATCACCTCCAACCTCGGAGTGGCTCGAACAACTTACACTCTGAAGTCACTGATCTTGTGAAGCTCAAGGGTTTACTGGGTTCGTGCTAAGGAGAGTATTCTAAGTTAGCATAAAAGGGACCTATGGAATAAACCATCTGGCTTCCTTCTTATGGTAACCTTAAACTAGGTTCACGAGACCCAGCTTCGGGCTGAGGGTCTGAGACCTGTGCCCGGTTTGTTTCGAAACCGCCTTCTCAATGCGACAAAGTCTTAAGCATTTCAAAGCCCTGCACTACATGAAGTGAGCTAGATCACCGGAATCATGTATGTATTGCAGGATCGTGTCCATCAAGCTGTGGCGAAAACTCATGGCCCAACGGGGCAACTGTACTTGCACAGTACAGGCCTTACCCTACCCTCAAAACACCTATTGGCGCACCCCTTTCAGGTCTGTTCTGTATGTATAACGGCTAAACCCTAAGCCCGAAACATTCTGAACGACAGCGACCTGACCAACTGGCATGATCCTTTAGGAGTGTTACCTGCAAACGCGCAGCCCCGCAAAGACAAGCACCCGAAAGCATACACTCCTACAGTAGCCCTCCCCCTTTTTGTGGAGTGGCGCGGTGTTCATATTGTGTGTATACATATACATATATATAGATATATTGTATATGTATATGTATATGTATATGTATATGTATATGTATATGTATATGTATATGTATATGTAAATGTATATGTATATGTATACGTATACGTATACGTATACGTATACGTATACGTATACGTATACGTATATGTATGTATATGTATATGTATATGTATATGTATATGTATATGTATATGTATATGTATATGTATATGTATATGTATGTATATATATATATGCTCTAGTGTCGAGGATACCATGGGGTAGGGGAGGAGGGACGGTAGGGCAGCCTTGCGGTGTGACATACATAGCTACATACATGCATGCATACATACATATACACAGTATATACACGCATATATATATATATTTATTTATTTATAGAGACTGCGTCGGAATATATATATATATGTATGTATACATATACACGAGCATGCAAACGTATATGTACATACAGAAAAGCTACCAAGTCTTCGTCGAAATTCGTTGAAGTCGCATCGAATCCTATTTTATGACGAGCATCCCGGCCAATAACTATCAAACATGGAAAACAATTATCAAACATCGAAGACCCAAATGCCACTAAGTAGCTACTATAATGCTACTTGGACCCTCTGGGAATACAGCAACAACTCGACCCTTGGCAGAGCCAACGGGTCTCCGGGCACGACCGCTGGGCAGCTCTCCAGTGCCTCCGAAACACCCAGAGACTCCAAAACCCCTTAATGAAGGAATATACTTTAAATCTTATCAGGGTTCTCATTATAATTTGGGGTACATTCCTTAATTAAGGAATATACCTTATATCTTATTAGGGTTCTTACTTTTATTTGAGGTATATATTCCTTAATTTGGAGTCTCTGGGCACCACCGTCCCAGGAAAGAAAAGCTACCGGGCTTTTCGGTGATGTCCAGAGAGCCTTTTTTTTCTTCTGATGCCGTAAGTATTGCTTAGGGCTGTCTCGGCATTTCAGTTTCCATTGGTTTGGGGGATTTAGGCATTTTGTAAGGGGGTCAGGAAGTGTATGAGACCTTGGGTTGTTAAGGGCTCCTTCGAGGGCTCCATTGCCTTGGGATTTGGGAGCCGAGGCTTCGATGAGGGCTCTATTCGGGCTTTATTAGACTTCGGGTCAGGTTTTAGGGGTTTCGGGTCGGCTTCCATAAGGAAGTCTTTATCCTATACAGGGGGTCTTGAGGATTTGGTAGGACTCGAAAAGGGTTTGAGGGCTCAGGGATTCTGCGTCTACTGCAAGGGAATGGCTCGTGGGGTGTAGGAATTTAGGGATTTAGGGTGTAGGGTTTCGGGGTTTAGGATTTTTTTTCAAAAAGGGGTTTTGCAAGTTTAGGGTTTAGGGTGTAAGATGGTTTAGGGATCCCGCCAAACCCGAAACTTATCGGAGAGTCGCTCTGGTAATGATCCCATGTTGCGGAAAGCCTAGTGAATAGCTCTAGCATTAAACCAAGGTTGCTGAATAGCCCCTGAATACAAGGGTAGCCATTTTCCTACTTATTTGGGGTAGTTCTCTAAAAATTAGGACCCTAAAAAGGGTCCGGTTTATGCGGGTGCTGCACTTTTCTGGATACTTAACATGGGAACCCAATTTAGAGAACTACCCATTTGGTTTAATAAGGGAACCCAACGGGCAAAGGGCACTACTGGGGAGCATTGTTAACCTGTTATTTCACGAAGTTTCTGTGACCAACGCGATCTGTCAGTCTATGGGTGCATGTACACCGAACCTTATCCAAAACTGAAAGATAGACCCTATAGCTCGAAGACGGTTGTAGGGGGTAGATTGTAGATTTCAAGTTATCATACGGAACCCTAAGTCTGAGTATTTATTCCGACCCCTTACATTCGCGGCCGAAAAGCACACACTCGGAAAGAGAACGACTCCCATTCCCATGGCTTAACAGCCAGCCTTCTCTCTGATTCATGACACTGGGGACCAGCATACACACCCAAAGCACAGAGGACCACATACGCACATGAAATGTGTTCAAGGAACTCTGATTCTGATCCTTGCAGATCTTGAAGGTTTAGGGTTTAGGGTTTTAGGGTTGGGTTTAGGGTTTAGGGTCTTGGAACCGATTCAAGATTGACATAAACACTCATGCGTGAGAATTGAAGCTGTTTCGCCATGCCACTCCGCCTGTTGAATGCGTGGCTCCAGCTGCGATTCAAAGACTTCCTGGAGCGCAAGCATCGGCTTTTGGAATTGGGGTTCAGGGTTTAGGGCTGGGATGCAAGGCTGCATGTAGCGCAGAGCCGGAAAGGCTTACTGTAATCCTAAGACCCAACGCCTCAAGCTACGCCCGAACGGCGATGCCTGAATTTGAAGGCTGATGTTCGGGGTCGTGGGGCCAGGCCTATACCAAGATCCATATCGGAGCGAGTAGGCTGACAGCCGTAGCTTCAAGCCAATCCCGACTCGCGACAACCCCTTCATGCTGTGCGACTGGATTCCGCACCACGATTGCAACAGTCAACCTTCTCGTGGCACTTAGTTCCCGGGTCGCCCAACGCATCCGGCGGTCACGCTCCGCGTCGTCTGCATTCGCCCTGGCCGGGTGTGGCCCCTGCCCGGCTGCAGCCTGCCGCTCCTGCAAACGAGTTCGGGTGGTTCGGCCTCGCCTGTGGCCGCAGCGCGGTCTATGCCACGCCTGCCCCTTCTTTGTGCCCGAAGCGCCAGTAGAGGCCTGCTGTCAGTACCCCGAGGGTCTGTCTGAGTGCCAGTTGCAGCCTGAACTCTCCTCCATCTCGGCTAGGAACATGCAATAGATAATTACCAATAGTATTTTGGGGGTTCCTTGACCTTGTTGTATCTATACCATAAAGGAGCCCAAAACCCTATTCTGCTTATTCAGGCCTCTACATTGCATTAGGCCCAGGACCAACCTCGGAGCGGGCTGTCGGCGATTTATGCTTGCGGGTGGCAGCGGCGGCAAGGCTGCAGGGCGGCTCCACCGGGGCTTAGGGTTTAGGGTTTAGGGTTTAGAAAGCCTAAAACCTAAACCCCAGATCCTTAATCATCCTAAAAAAGCAGAAGCAAGGCCCGGAACTGAAACACCAGTTCCCGGACCCTAACGCCTCAACACTCTATAACATTCATGCAAGACCCTTGAAAAGGAAACCCTAAATACCCCTAAACTGCCGCAAAGCTAAATCCCTACATCCCAAACCCTAAACCGCTAGAATATAACTAAACCCTAACCCCTGAATCCGAAACCCTAACCCCTCAACTCTCTAGAATATCCATATAATATAGAAACCTACAAGGACCCCGTATAAATCCTGAACCCTAAACCTCTACATTCCAAACCCTAAACCGTTATAGTAGAAGCCAGAAAGTTGAAGCATTAGTATCCTGATGCCCTTAAGCCCTTGAGGTAACGTATAAGGGATCCTGGCAACAATCCTCCAAAGCCCATGTTCCAACTTTCTGGGATTCGCTGCGAATCATCTTCCGAAACAAGAATCCAAACCCTAAACCCTAAACCCTAAACCCTGAATCCTAAACCCTGAATTCTAAACCCTAAACCCTAGATCCAGAGTAGCTCCCTGCTGGGCTCTCCTCCAGGAAATGCAGGGAGAGGTCGAGGTTGTCCCGGCCATACCTCCCAAAAGGGGTTTAGGGTTTTGGGTTTTGGGTTCAGGGTTTAGGGTTAGGGGTTTAGGGTTTAGGGTCAGGGGTTTAGGGTTTAGGGTCTAGGGTTTATAGGGTTCGGGGTTTAGAGTTTAGGGTTTGTGGGTTTATAGGGTTTAGGGTTTAGGCTAAACTCCCAGCTCAGAATCTCAGAAGCTCGCAAAAACCACGTAAGTTGGACCTACTCACAGGGCTCGTGTCAGGGGCTTCGGACCTAAACCCTAAACCTAAAACCCCTCGGCCCTGAAGCCTACAACCCGCCAAACCCCGAAATGACCTCCATCCGGGCGAACTCGAGACACCGCTAAGGTATCCTTCCAAGCTTTGCTTAGGGATTAGGGCCTAGGGCTTAGGGTTTAAGGTTAGGGTTTAGGGTTTAGGGCTTAGGGTTTAGGCTTTGGTTGTTTCATTTTTGGGTGGGTGAGGGTTTTGCGGGCCGTTGATTCAGAAACTCCAACCCTAAACCCTAAACCCGAAAACCCTACACCTTAAACCTAAACCCAAAACCCTAAACCCAAAACTCCATGATTCGAGGCGTAGGCTGTCGGTTGCATGGAAGATCCTTGGCCGAGTGACTTGGCAGTCCGAGAGTTGTTTCCTTACCCAAAGGGTCCTATGTACTGTTATGGGTGATACTTCCCTAAATCATAATTTATAGTAATTCCCAACATAGAAACCATACATTCTACTAGATGGGTACATAGGACCCTTGGGGTTAGGGTTTAGGGAAAC